GAATATCGAAATATGTTCTAAAAAAACACTATAATTTTTCAAATAACCGATGAATTGATTTAAAATTTTGCAGGTAGCTACCAGCAGAGTGCATATCCATTTAATGGACGCGAACGACCACAGCCCAGAGTTCTCCCAATCGGTGTACAAGCTCTCAGTGCCCGAGGACGCCGAGATAGGAACGGAATTCAGCAACGTCTTCGCCAGAGACTACGACAGCGGTGCCTTCGGAGAACTGACGTACATATTACGAGGCTTCGGTGCTGACAAATTTAAAACCGACCCGAAAACAGGAGGAATATCCGTGGCGAAGTCTTTGGACTACGAAACCCAGAAATCATACTCGTTAACGATGGAGGCTAAAGACGGTGGTGGCAGAGTCTCAGCTGTGAACATTTTAATCGAACTGGAAGACGTGAATGATAACAAGCCTGTCTTCGAACAAAACGAGTACGCGAGGACTGTCCGCGAGGGAGCAACTAGCTTCGATCCGCAGATGTTCGTCAGAGCGACGGACGTCGACGGTCCGATGCAAGGAAACGGGAAAGTGACGTATTCCATTAGCTCACACAACAGCATGACGAACGATGTCTTCAAGGTATTAACATAACTGTTAATCTTTAATCTAAAATTATAGGAACGATGATTATTTTTCGTAGATAAATCCAGAGACAGGTGAGGTGACGATGGCGAAAGCGGTGAGGTCTGACGACACAGAGCGAGGCATCTACGAGCTAATAATTCGCGCAACTGACTTCGGAACACCGGCATTACACTCGGAAGCGAAGCTGTCGGTTAGAGTGGGAGTGCCAGGAAACCAGAAGCCCGTGTTCCGTGGAAATTACAAATCTAATTTGCCGGGACCTAGTACTTATCGAGCGCGACTGTTGGAGAACGCCTCACCCGGAACGGAGGTAATTAGAGTCGTGGCGAACGACCCTGACGGTAGGGACAACCTGTTGCAGTACCATATCGCTTCCGGGGCTAAAGATAATTTCGTCATAGATCCCAGGTAATTTCTATTATTATACAACATAAAACTGTCTATTATACAATACGATTATATTATAACTCCTGTAGCTCTGGCGTTATTACGGTTTCACCGGACGCCCGTTTGGATCTGGAGACAGGTGGGGAGAAATACGAAGTTATAGTGCATGCTATAGACTCGGGAACACCTGTCAGGGAAACTGCCACTACCACAGTCACAGTTAACATGGTAGATGTGAACAACAAACCACCGACGTTCAACGAGTCCACGTATCTCATTTATGTCTCAGAAAGAGCAACCATAGGCAAGTCTTCAAGTTCAAAACTAATTTGACATAATAGATTTTATTTAGAAACCCAGTTGGCGCATGGAAGCGACTGGGCGTTTCGAAGCAACACGCCATTGGCACTTATTAGTATTTTATATTATCTTAAATAGGAGATCCAGTATTGAAAGTAATGGCGACAGACCCGGACTCGGACGCGAACTTAGAGTACTCATTAGTGGAGCCCATAAAAGCAGTGGACAAAACGGGAGTCGCGCTGAAGAACACGGCAGGGTACGATTACAAGACGGCGTTCAGGATAAATTCCACGACCGGTTTGATAACAGTGAACCGGGTGCTGGACTATCAAGTCGCTGCGGTGATTATTCTAACGGTGCAGGTGCAAGACCTGAACGCTGTAGTTGACAAAGAGAAACAGATCACCAAAGTCGAAGTGACTATATACATCCAAGCTTATAGCGATGACAATCCGACGTTTACTAATCCTGGATGGTCGCCTAATAATCCTACGATTAGGATTTCTGTGCCTGAGGAACAACCACTAGGGACTACTTTGCTCATGTTGTCTGCTAAGGAACCTACCACTGGCTATCCTGTTCAGAGGTTTGAGCTAGTCAGGGAGGACGATGATGAGGGATACGTGAACGTTGGCGTTCAAAGTGGCAACGTGGTTTTGAGCAAGAGACTGGATTACGAAGCTCTCAATTTAAAGGTACACAGTTTTTATTTCATGTATTCTTGTTTGCACTAATGAAAATTTTCATTAAATTTGCAGTCGATCCAGTTTAAAGTCAGAGCGCTGGCTAGGGACTATGAAATAACCCGGAGGATGTCTGAAGCCAACGTGATTGTAGAAGTGCTAGATGTGAACGACAACAGCCCGACGTTCACTCAAAACGATTACAAGATTTCGATATTGGAATCGGAGAAGCCTTCCAAAATCGTGTTGAGCGTACGAGCCACTGATCTGGACAGTTCTAACACTGAAGAAGAAATTAAAAGAGGATACGGCGAAGTGAGATACTCTTTGATTGGAGAGAACGCTAATATGTTTGAGATCGAGCCAACAATTGGCAACATTAAGGTAAAAATACTTATTATTTTATATTTTATTTAAATATTATAATAGTTCTTCTAATCTTGCAGATCGCTGCTAATACCACTTTGGATAGAGAGAAGCAATCTGTTCTCCGTTTCTACGTGGTTGCGTCGGATATGCCTCAGGGCGGTGCGGAACAGAGGAGCACCAGAGCTCTGGTGACGGTGGACGTTCTGGACGTCAATGACAATGCTCCGACCTTCGATCAGGAATCGTACACCGCTGTGATACCTGAGAATGCACCGAAAGGCGTCAGCGTTGTGAACATCACAGCGACGGATCCTGACGAAGGCGAGGGAGGGACGATCAATTATGAAATCATCGATGAAGGCGAAGCAAATGGTGAGTGTCTAACTTTTATACTATTCCTTATATCATAATTACCTAATTTCCAGGTCTATTCAAGATCAACCACACGACAGGTGAGATCTACTCAGGCGGAGCCCTGACAGGAAAAGGCAGAACAGAACCGTACGTGATGAGGATCCGAGCTGAGGACAATGGGAAGCCTGAACTGTACTCAGACGTGATCTTAACTCTTTATATCGGAGACGTTGTGAGCAACGACGGTGTCCCGCTTTTCATCAGACCCACTCTCGAAGAAGTAGCCCACATAGCTGAGAACTCAACGATCGGAAGTCCGGTGTTCCAGGCGGTGGCTTCAGACCCAGATGATCCGAACTTGCCGAACGGTAAAATCACGTTCAAATTCCTGGAAGACGGGAACTTCGGCAAGGACGCAAGTGCCTTTAAGATAAACAGCGAGACCGGCCTGATAACGACTAGAAAATTGCTGGACAGAGAAACCAAGGACAGTTACACGTTGATATTAGTGGCGCAGGACTTAGGAAGTCCTCCGCAGCAGGCGACAAGAGTGCTTCAGGTGATAGTGAACGACATCGACGATCACAAGCCACACTTTAAAAGAACTTTAGACAGCCCGCCGATAGAATTATCTGTACTCGAAGAGGAACCACTTGGGACCAAAGTGGGAATCATCGAAGCCATCGATGAAGACATTAATGAGAACGGAATGATTGACTACGCAATTGTTTATGGGAACGAAGCTGGTTTGTTTGTCGTAGAACGTTTAAATAATTCAGCAATTATCAAGACGAATGGTCGTTTAGACAGAGAGACGACTGATCGCCATTTAATAACAATCAAATGTTTCCCATATTCTACAAAGAAGTCTGACGTCGTTCCCAAGCCTTACAATAGACAGGATCCTTCAGAGAGACAAGTTCTAATCAGAGTGTTAGACATCGATGACAACAAGCCTAAGTTTAAAAAAGAGAATGTCACTTTAGGTGTCCGTTTGAACGTGCCTATAGACACCAGTTTGATAACCTTGGAAGCTACTGACATTGACTCTGAGGCACTGCCAATTAACTACAGCATGGGCAAAGCTTCTTTCACTTCTCTGGTCGACCCTGCCATGTCTAAGAAGAAGATTCCCTCGCAGTTGTCATTGAATCCTCAAACTGGTGAGCTGAGGACGACTGGATCCATGTCCAACTACGCTGACGGCTACATGGAGCTCACGATCACTGCCAACAATTCTGTCACTCCTGGCAGAGAAACGAACATCACCTTGAAGATATTTCTACTACGTGACAGAGACATGCTGAAGTTCGTCTTCTCTAAACCACCAGTGGAAGTACGAAGGACATTAGAGGATTTCGAGAAGGCAGTGCAGCAGGCTTTATCACTGCCCATTGCTGTCAACGTTTACGACACTCAGTTCTATTCGAAGGAGGACAATTCTCTTGATTTCTCATCGACCAGCTCGTGTTTCCAAATGGTTGGCAAGGAGGCGTACGACCTGGACGAGATGAAGGCTCTGTTGACTGACCCTAAGAACGAGGAGTTGAAGAAGGTTTATAGGAGTTATAATGTTGAGAAGGTGCAGCACTGTGCGGCTCTGGTGGCCAGGGCTGATGCTTCCATGACCCAAATGTGGGTTCTGGCTATTGCGGTGCTCGTCGGTGCGGCGACTATCGTCTCCAGCTGCGCTCTCTGCTGCATGCACTCCAAGTAAGTTATTTTATCTATTATGCATTGATGATTAATAGGTCCTCTTCAAGTCTTAAGAAAAATGTACTATGGTTTGTCTCAGGTATAAACGGCACGTGAAACACGCCCGTTTGCGTGAGCAACCGCGACCGCCTCTGAGCTACGTCTCTTCAGGGCCGGGAATGGTCAGTGCTGCGTCGCATACAACGTTGGGACCTGGTACCATGGTTTCCCTTGGGCCTCACGAAGGCCCATACGAATGGGGAGCGGACACCACGCTATATCACCCGAGTACTCTTGGCTCCAGGACATAATAGAGCTTTGATTCAGGGGTCATCTGATGGAAATGAAGGAGTATCATATGTCTACTTGGATGTTATTCGATTTGCCATAAATTTTGATAATTTGACACGAAGTGTGATAATATGAGTAATGAGAATGACTGCGGATTTTATGCAATCGTGAGAAGAGTACAAGCAGTGTCATGTATAAAAATATAGTAAATATCAACAGTAGTTGTTGGAGAATTTAAAAGATAAAACTGCTATTTAATGCCCACTTCTTTTAAACAGTAAATATTTTGCATAAAAATCTGCAGTCCTTAGGAAGGAAGCTGAAGATACTCTGATTCAAAAGAACGTGAAATCTCTCTCTCTCTCACTTAATAATTACAAGCGTCAATCAAAGATAGAGTACAACTTTTTAATAATTATGTTAAAATCTTGAAGTCTCAAACATGTGATGAAATGACAGATGGTAAAAATTTGAGAAGGAATTGTATTATAGTATAGGTGAAAGTCGACGAATGGTGCTATAAATATAAGGTGGAGAATATGTTCGTGCCAAAATACAGGGACACGTGTAATAAATTACGTCGCTCACGAGGGAACCTGACGAACCTTGACACGTCAACTCCAACAAAACTTAGGATACAATCTTAAGCCAGTGAATAGAAATTGGAGCACTTACTATATAATTTAAACAAAATGTGTGTCAAGGTTGGATGGGTTTGTCGGTAGTATTAAAATACTAACTAGATTTTATGAATTTTAGAGAGTGCTGCACAATTTTTAAGATACGCAGCGCTATTGTAATATACATATATTTAATTTTTAAGGATGAAATAATAAACTGTACATTTTTTAGTTTTGTTTATGAAACCCTCGTCTGTATTCACCTGGTCAAAATTTATAAGATACAACAACGATCGTCGATTAAAGACAAATTTTACTACATTTCAATTTTTAGAGACACTGTCACTAAATTCCTTGAACCCTTCGACAGTGTCAATGTCCTTCGAGTCAGCATTTTCATTTTTAACAACAGTCGCCTCATTCAAAGTAGTAGTAGTAGTAGTAGTATCATCACATTTGTCATCAGTAGTAGTCTGTATAAATTTCTGGGCCTGATATTCGTAGTTCTCTGTACTAGCATAATCATCCTCTATACTAGATTTATGATTAAGTGGGACATTAATGGGTTCCTGATTAGCTTTTATGGACTCTGCTTGTCCTGATGTCTTCCCCTCATCGCTGCTACCCAGGGTACTTTCTTCGTACCTCGTAGCAGCGAGATTTTCTTCTTCGTTCTCCATGAACTTCGACCTTTCCACTGCTAAGTGCTTAGCTATCGTTTCCAGGGGTGACCAGACTTTCTCTACGAACTGCTGACGCTCTTCAGGACCCAGAGACTGCGATCTGTGTATAATATCTTTCCTGGAAAGAGAAATACAATAATTATTCATGAACATTTTTCCAAATTTGTTAATTTATTACCTGCTCAATTTATTCTTCTTTCTTGGGTACAGATTCAAATGGAATATCATCTGCTGTCTTTCCTCCTCTTCGCTCATTGGCTGATTCGACATCCCTGCCAACGGTTGTTGAGGCATGGCGTAAACCTTGTTGCCTCTATTGAACTGAATCGGTCTCCTCATTTCGTAATCTTCTATAGGAACTGGTTTCGGTCTGGTCGTTTTCTTGTTCTGCTCGATGTCTGTGATGGGATAAATGTCCAGCATGACGCTAAACGGCTGAGGTTTACGCTTTTTTGGATAGTTGTTCTGAATGTTCTCATACTGAGGATCCATTGATGAGGGTTTGTAGTAATTCGGTCGCCAGGAATCGTAATTGTACCGAGTCAGTCCTGTTGGCGAAAATCTGAAACATTTCAACATTAAACCCACTTGTTTAAATAACACATCGATTTCCCAATACCTGAAATTGGACATGGCTAGGAGATTGACATCTGCTGGGTGTTTAGGCTTGAATTGGTAAAACGGATCTTCGTTAGACACGTAGGAACCCTCTTCTTCCTCTGACCTGTCGTTGTTCGCCATTATCTCAGCTGCTTCAGGGTACATGTCGAACTTCTTAGGGTTCACGTAAACGCCGCTGAACTTTATGCCCCTGTTCGGCAGGTCTGCGTCGTTCGTCAGGTACTTTATGATGTCTTGAATGTTCCTGGAGGCGTGGGGGTATCTGTATTGGGTCAGCTGAGGATACCTGGGACGCTTGAAGGCAGTCGGCTGAGGAGTCTTCAGCTCCCAATGGAAAGGGACTGGGCGACTCTCTTCTGAGCCCTCTTCTTCATTCGATTCTGGGTACTTGTACCTATTTCATCATTGATCACAGCTCAACTATAAAAATTCTTTTAAGTCCTGATGTGAGAATATTTATTACCTCTGCCTGACGCGATAGACCACAGCATGATTGTCGAACAACTGTTTCCCTTCCGGAGGATCTTCGTTGTTCTCCACTGACTTCAAGACTCTTTTCCTCAGTTTGAAGTTCTCCAAGTTCTGCGACCTGAACTCAGCATCGACTCTATCATCATCGAATGAATTTCCATCATCTGAGCGATCCTGAATCGAGCTGCTTCTGTTCACTGTTGGTGACATTATGGTAGAATTGGACAGTCTTCTGGTGAAGTTCGTAGGCTTCTTCATCGCGTTCTGTAGGATGTACATGTGCTTGGTTTCCTGGCTCATTTTATTAGCCGACGTCGCAGATGTGAAGTCGTACAGAAATATTCCAATCTGTAAATCAATTGACATTTGTTGAACGATCATTTAAAAATTGGAGAGCAGAAAATTGGACAAAAAGAAGGACTGCAATTTAACACATAAATTAATTCATTAGGTTTCTCTCGCCATAAGAGACCCAACACTATTTTCTATGATTAACGAGCTGTTGAGGAATCAGAATGATTACCGAGTTTTCGTTCATTCATTAAACATCAACAAAAACTGAGGCGTTAATTCGTGTCAAAACACAGTTAACGCCCTATATGTGAAGCACGCAGAAATCTGGTTTGACGCTTGGCTCGTCATGCGTGCGGGGCCGAGATTCCTGGTGAAATTCGGATTCCTCTTTTGAACGTGCAGCCACCGTGCCTGATACATTAATTCATGGGAGAAAACGTGCCAGATGTAATTGCACTCATTGTTCTCCGACGTCTCATTAATGCATACGCAGATAAGAACTTCGCTCGTTACAAAACGTTTGTCGCCGTTAACATATACAGAGTGAATCAATAAAAAGTATATAAGATTGGTAATCATTGATCACAGGTTTTATATATTTATTATAACAAAGTAAATAAATTTTAGAATTTGTTATTGTATTAATTTTATTGCAAATCCCTTCGAAAGCAACTTTCTAATTAGAGAATTGCATGAAGATCGATCTGGTTTGCATTGCTGAATATTTTAAGAGGTAATTAAGGAAATGAGTCTCGTGCAATCTCACGCTAAGTTTGAATACGCTAATGCAATGTTAATGATTATTAACATAATGATTTCTAATCACGAACACTATTCTGGTTAGATGAGCTCAATGATAATAGTGATAATCTTCTATACAGTTTCTTATGAGAAGTTAATGAAAGTGGAAAACGATTCTCTTCAAGAATAAATATTAAAGACAAGTTAAACAAATTCTGATGTCAATAAATAATTAAGATTCAAAATAACAAATGAATTATTGACATCAAATGATTTTTAAATGATGACAGATTGTTGGAACAGGAATTAATTATTGATCTAATCTACTTACTAGTATCACTGCCATCACAACCATAATTCCGATAGCAAATTTCCTCGCGATGGACCCGTATCGATTCCTGTTGTAACGATCAACGTGATCCGAATAGAGTCCAAGCTGAGACGTACTAATCGCACTCCTACGTCCCGTTTCGAACATGTCCTCTCATCAAATCTCTTCACAATAATTCATTAACATTTCCTTATATTTGTTAATATTTATTAATGTAACTCTTCCTTACGCTCGACTATTTTTTATAAATTGACAAGCAGAGTTATAGGAATTTTTTAAAACAGGGTTAACGACCGAATAAATATTTTATAATCCGTAATGTCCGACGTGAACGATGGAGAACAATCGCGAGACAATGGTCTTTGGAAGTTGGTTAAACAACTAACGAGTGCTGATTTCCCGCGGGCAGTTTTCACTGGCCGGACTCTATCGCGGACGTAGAAAATTTCGTTCTACGTGGGGATGCTTGTTACTAGTAGTAGGAGGAGGCGTGTTATGGGCTACTTACCGCGGCATGAAACTATGAAACTCGCAACGAAGATCATTGCGTGATATTCTAATGTAAGTGAATGTCAATGTTACGGTCACTGTCTCAGTAAATCATCCATTGTCATTGTGGAGACTCAATCATAAACCTTAGAAGGAATGCTTATTGGCCATAAAGTGGACAAGAGTCTTCAGAAGCAGCGATCAGAAATCATACCTAATCGATTGCATCAAAGAGTAATTTTCGGGTTCCTTAGCTTATTGGCCATAAAGTGGACAAAAGTCTTCAGAAGCAGCGATCAGAAATCATACCTAATCGATTGCATTAAACAGATATTTTTTATTTCCTTAGCTTATTGGCCATAAAGTGGACAAGAGTCTTCAGAAGCAGTGATAAAAAATCATACCTAATCGATTGCATCAAAGAGTAATTTTCGATTTCCTTAGCTTATTGGCAAGTGGACAAAAGTCTTCAGAAACAGTGATCAGAAATCATACCTAATCGATTGAATCAAAGAGTAATTTTAGGGTTCCTTAGCTTATTGGCAAGTGGACAAAAGTCTTCAGAAACAGTGATCAGAAATCATACCTAATCGATTGCATCAAAAAGTAATTTTCGGGTTCCTTAGCTTATTGGCCATAAAGTGGACAAGAGTCTTCAGAAGCAGTGATCAGAAATCATACCTAATCGATTGCATTAAAGAGATATTTTTTATTTCCTTAGCTTATTGGCCATAAAGTGGACAAGAGTCTTCAGAAGCAGTGATAAAAAATCATACCTAATTGATTGCATCAGAGACATATTATGAATTCCCTCAGTTTGATGAGCTATCCTAGGTGCTTGAAGCTGCATAATTCATAGTGATTAATATTCATGAACTGAGAATAAGTACGTCGTGGGCGAAACCCTCTGGCGAGTCAAGTGTCTGACACTTTGCTTTCATTCCTCGAGGGATTCCATCTGATTAAAGAGACACATTGAAGACTACGTGGGAGGTGAAAGGAATGAAAGTGAGCGATTGTATTTTTTACAAATTTTATTTCTATTGCATATATGTGTTACATATATAAAAAGTAGAACTTTACATCTTAAAACTACGTTCTTATGTATTTTATGTATTTTAATAATTGCTTTTATCACGAATGCAGCGGAACATCATCGGCTTTGTTACAGATTAAGGCAGTGAAGAGAATTGTATAGTAATGGCTCTTCTATTTCTACATTCACAATTACGAGTTACCGTTTGTTTAAAAATGATTTTAACAACAGTAATTGAGAAGACACACTGCGGTCCTCGTTTCCTCATTTTCGATTATTCGTTTCAGGGTGATAAATAGTTTTCTATTAAAAAACGTACAAAAATTGAGAAATAGTAATTCATGGACAGTTCGACCTGATTGCCCCCTCATCGGAAGAAAGGTGGTAGTTCAAGTGGATTCTCAGGTGCGTCATAGAAGTAACCGATGGGCCTCTTAGTAGTCGGAGGCAATGTAGGAGGCGGTGCTGGTGACCCGGTTGGCGGTGGCGTGTAGATAGTCGACGTGGGCACGAGGGTGTACTGTGGCGTCGGTGGTGGCGGTGGGGTCACCGTTACGCGCGGGGTCGTAGGGGGAGAGGGTGGAAGGTACGGTGGTGGCCGCGTAGTTGGCCCGGTACCCGTAGGGATATAATCAGTGATGGGACCTACGCCTGTAGTTGGCCGGGTAGGCCGAGTTGTCACTGGGGTATAAGTCGGTCTTTCTGTAAACCGAGTTGGAGTCACTGGAGGAATGTACGTCGAAGGTGTTCCGTACGTCACTCGTGGAGTAGACGGGGTATGATACGGAGTGGGTGTGCTGAACGTGTAGGTTGGAGTTGGGCGAGACGTGGTTCCATGTGTTGAGGGAAAAGGAGTTCGCGATGTGGTTGGGGGGAGGTATGTAGGAGCTGTGGAGAACCGTGATGGTGTTGGTCTCTCGTATGTTACAGGAGGACGAGTGGTTGGTCTCTCGTATGTTACAGGAGGACGAGTGGTTGGCCTCTCGTATGTTACAGGTGGACGGGTTGTGGGTCTTTCGTATGTTACAGGTGGACGTGTTGGGGTAGTTGGAGGGAGATACGTGGGGGATGTATACGATCCTGTTGGTATTGGTCGTGTGGTTGGTCTTTCGTATGTGACCGGAGGACGAGTGGTTGGCCTCTCGTATGTTACAGGAGGACGAGTAGTTGGTCTCTCGTACGTTACTGGAGGACGAGTAGTTGGCCTCTCGTATGTTACAGGAGGACGAGTAGTTGGTCTCTCGTACGTGACCGGAGGACGAGTAGTTCTATCAGGTGGTAGATATGTATCACCCTGGGTTGATGGACGTATTGGAGGCCGTGTTACTGGAGGCGATGTTGGACGTGGTGGCGGCAAGTAGTCCGGAGAGGTAGGTCGAGACGGTGGTTGCGGCCGCGGTGGATAGGGAGGTTGAGGTGGTCTTGGTTGGGGAGGTGGTGTTTGAGGTGGATATGGTCGCGGTGGAGGTGGTGTTTGCGGTGGATAAGGTCGTGGTGGCGGTGGAGTTTGAGGTGGATATGGTCGCGGTGGAGCTGGTGTTTGTGGGGGTTGTGGGGGAGGATATGGCCTCGGTGGAGCTGGAGTTTGTGGCGGCTGTGGTGGAGGATATGGCCTCGGTGGAGCTGGCGTTTGTGGAGGCTGTGGTGGAGGATATGGTCTCGGTGGAGCTGGTGTTTGAGGTGGATATGGTCGTGGTGGAGCTGGCGTTTGAGGTGGATATGGCCTCGGTGGAGCTGGTGTTTGTGGAGGCTGTGGGGGTGGATACGGTCGTGGTGGTGGTGGAGTGCGAGGAGGTTCAGGAGGTATGTAAGGAGGTCCTGGTGTTGGTGGTGTTTGAGGTGGATATGGTCGTGGTGGAGCTGGCGTTTGCGGGGGCTGAGGCGGTGGATATGGCCTCGGTGGAGCTGGTGTTTGCGGGGGCTGTGGTGGAGGATATGGCCTCGGTGGAGCTGGCGTTTGTGGAGGCTGCGGTGGTGGATATGGCCTTGGTGGAGCTGGCGTCTGTGGAGGCTGCGGGGGTGGATATGGCCTCGGTGGAGCTGGCGTTTGTGGAGGCTGAGGCGGTGGATATGGCCTCGGTGGAGCTGGTGTTTGCGGGGGCTGTGGTGGAGGATATGGCCTCGGTGGAGCTGGTGTTTGAGGTGGATATGGTCGCGGTGGAGCTGGAGTTTGTGGAGGCTGTGGGGGTGGATAAGGCCGCGGTGGTGGTGGAGTACGAGGAGGCTCAGGAGGTATGTAAGGAGGTCCTGGTGTTGGCGGTTTTTGAGGAGGATAAGGTCGCGGTGGAGACGGTGGCTGAGGAGGCTGCGAAGGAGGATACGGTCTCGGTGGAGATGGTGGCTGCGGAGGTGGCGATGGGGGATAAGGTCTCGGCGGAGACGGCGGCTGAGGAGGCTGAGAAGGCGGATACGGCCTCGGTGGAGACGGTGGCTGAGGAGGCTGCGAAGGAGGGTACGGTCTCGGTGGAGACGGTGGCTGCGGAGGTGGCGATGGGGGATATGGCCTCGGCGGAGACGGTGGCTGAGGAGGTTGCGAAGGCGGGTACGGCCTCGGTGGAGATGGTGGCTGAGGTGGCTGTGAGGGAGGATACGGCCTCGGTGGAGATGGTGGCTGCGGAGGTGGCGATGGAGGATATGGTCTCGGCGGAGACGGTGGCTGAGGAGGCTGCGAAGGAGGGTACGGTCTCGGTGGAGACGGTGGCTGCGGAGGTGGCGATGGAGGATATGGTCTCGGCGGAGACGGTGGCTGAGGAGGCTGCGAAGGAGGATACGGCCTCGGTGGAGACGGTGGCTGAGGGGGTTGCGAAGGCGGATACGGTCTCGGTGGAGACGGTGGTTGAGGAGGCTGTGAAGGAGGATACGGTCTCGGTGGAGACGGTGGCTGAGGAGGCTGCGGTGGTGGATAAGGCCGTGGCGGTGGTTTCTTCACTGGTGGCCTAGTTGTATCTTGCGGCCTTTGAGGTGGGAATGTAAATTGTTTATCAGGCGGCGAATAATCATATCCCGTAGTCGGTATTCTTTGAGTTGGTATCCTTTGCGTCGGTATCGTTTGAGTAGGTATCCTCTGAGTTGGTCTAGTTTGAATCGGTGTCCTCTGTGTTGGTATCGTTACAGGTGGGAAGGGTTTACTAGGTGTTTGGTAGTCATACCCTGGTGTCCTCGTAGGTATCCTCTGAGTTGGTACCGTTTGAATCGGTGTCCTCTGCGTTGGTATCGTTACAGGTGGGAAGGGTTTACTAGGTGTTTGATAGTCATACCCTGGTGTCCTCGTCGGCTGCGTCACTGGCGGCCGTCCCGTCGGTCTATAATATAGAAAGTGTCTTAGTTGCACTAACTTCTATAAATCCTAATTCCTAATTCATAATCCACATGAAATGATTCTTACAATGTATAGGTGACAGGCGCACTTGTTGTAAAATGATCGACATATGGAGTTTGTGTAGGCCTTGACGTATATCTCGGGGTAGTATACGTTGGCTGCGACGGCCTATAAAAAATACACACACACACACATTACTTACACAGTACTTCCAAGAAAATAAAATCATAATCCAAGGTTTTTTAACTTACCTCGTTGTAGGATACGTGAAGATCTCATTGGGTGGTTCATAAACGTAACCCTTGCTTCCGATCGCTCGTTTGCTCTTCTCACTAGATGCTTCCGCATAGTGTGTGGAGAGCACTGCCACAACTATGGCAATCCACAAGATTCGCTGTAAACAATTACACATATCGGAGACGGTGGCTGAGGAGGCTGCGAAGGAGGGTACGGTCTCGGTGGAGACGGTGGCTGCGGAGGTGGCGATGGAGGATATGGTCTCGGCGGAGACGGTGGCTGAGGAGGCTGCGAAGGAGGATACGGCCTCGGTGGAGACGGTGGCTGAGGGGGTTGCGAAGGCGGATACGGTCTCGGTGGAGACGGTGGTTGAGGAGGCTGTGAAGGAGGATACGGTCTCGGTGGAGACGGTGGCTGAGGAGGCTGCGGTGGTGGATAAGGCCGTGGCGGTGGTTTCTTCACTGGTGGCCTAGTTGTATCTTGCGGCCTTTGAGGTGGGAATGTAAATTGTTTATCAGGCGGCGAATAATCATATCCCGTAGTCGGTATTCTTTGAGTTGGTATCCTTTGCGTCGGTATCGTTTGAGTAGGTATCCTCTGAGTTGGTCTAGTTTGAATCGGTGTCCTCTGTGTTGGTATCGTTACAGGTGGGAAGGGTTTACTAGGTGTTTGGTAGTCATACCCTGGTGTCCTCGTAGGTATCCTCTGAGTTGGTACCGTTTGAATCGGTGTCCTCTGCGTTGGTATCGTTACAGGTGGGAAGGGTTTACTAGGTGTTTGATAGTCATACCCTGGTGTCCTCGTCGGCTGCGTCACTGGCGGCCGTCCCGTCGGTCTATAATATAGAAAGTGTCTTAGTTGCACTAACTTCTATAAATCCTAATTCCTAATTCATAATCCACATGAAATGATTCTTACAATGTATAGGTGACAGGCGCACTTGTTGTAAAATGATCGACATATGGAGTTTGTGTAGGCCTTGACGTATATCTCGGGGTAGTATACGTTGGCTGCGACGGCCTATAAAAAATACACACACACACACATTACTTACACAGTACTTCCAAGAAAATAAAATCATAATCCAAGGTTTTTTAACTTACCTCGTTGTAGGATACGTGAAGATCTCATTGGGTGGTTCATAAACGTAACCCTTGCTTCCGATCGCTCGTTTGCTCTTCTCACTAGATGCTTCCGCATAGTGTGTGGAGAGCACTGCCACAACTATGGCAATCCACAAGATTCGCTGTAAACAATTACACATAGAAATTACTACAACTGTTTATAAAATGGAGTTCCTTGTTTTAATATTAGAAAAGTAATTCTATTTTGCAATGCATCCAAGTATTAATATGAGTCATTCATTATACGCAGAAACCATTCATTCAGGAACGATGACAATGACCCGATATATCGGATGCATATTGGGTCACGGATCGGCTCGTAATCCTGTTATAAATCGATGATCGTCCTCGTGGGATTATCTCACGCTTTACTCAATTTCTTATATAACCCGTCTCACAGCCGCGAGGCACCCGATGATGCAGCAGTGATCGTGAAAGGTTCGCACCGTGTGGTACTTTCATTGATCACCACGCTCAGCCTCAAAGATTTATGTTCCACCGCGTATCCCACCGAAATTAAAAGCGACTTTCTACTATTTCTCATAATTTTCCTTAACAAACACACACACACATACACAGACATAGTCAGTGACGTCTTCATGCAACATTCACACTTCAATTAAACATTATTATTTTAATTCGTTTTGCAACTTTATCTCTTTCCTGTTACTAATTAGCTGTCATATATTTATTGAACGGAGTCCCACGCAAGAACGCGAGTTTTACATTGTTGCAACGGTCGATGTTGTTTTTTTTTAACGCTAAACGGTTTGTAATAATGCAATTATCCTGCAGTGGGTTCTATAAATCAGAAGACTCGTTGGCCAGAAATGAAAACCTTATCCGTTTACGACATCGCGAACGTGGCGTACGCGAATGATGGTTCTGGCTCGAAGAAACGTCCACTGACCTTTAGGCGTATAATTTATATAGGAGGATCTCAGCCTATAGGAAGGGAAGGAATACTACGGTCTCTTTCGCCAGTATGTGAAAGGCTTCTAACGTACCCTTCATAAGTCTCAGGACAAGTTGTAAAACGCCTAGTAGAATGAGACGTCTTAGTATCATGAATGAACGAAAATCTATTTTCTACTGAATTATTATTATTATTAGGATTCTGTTTGAACATTCTGGTTTACAGTTTCTATCTAGCCATCTAAAAGTATCGCCGTTTTAATCAGGATCGTTGATCTTCGATTGCGAAATCGCAGGTCCTTCGTGACTGAGGAAAGCTACAATGCTGTTATGCAAAACAAGAAGAAGAGGACAGGTAGGAAGCGTCTAGTTAGGTTCACGTCACTCACGACCCCCCCTCCAGAACAGTCTCATGATTTATATATTAAAATGCATCAACGGTCTGATTTATAATGTTGCGTTTCGCAACCCCGTTGACCGCGCGCAGGCAATTACGGTCCGCGGACGGTTGCATGATTAATATATAGCATAGCTTTTATGACGCCGACTGTGGAATAGTGCAAACAATTAACCGCGTTCGGCTCATCAGCGTTTTATTTGCACCTAGAGAAAGTTGCACGTTGCACGTTTTCAAAACTATGTAACGACGGCTCTCTACGGGTCAGCTTATGGTTGCACGAGGTGTAAAATTATTTCCCAATCAATAACGCTCGACTGCTGTTAACTAACTTTAGTTGCTTATTGATATTGATCAACAGAACATGGATTTTTAACAAGTTTCAGGGGGGAGGGGGCAATGTGGGGAAAGTGGTAACAGTTGCGTCAGATGGTTTTGTTGATCAAACATCGGGCAATTAGACCACTGCCATAATTGATGCATGCATGTTCATAGAGTGCTTGAATTCTCCTCATTATTATTATTATTATTATTATTATTGTTATTAATATTATTGGAGCTGGGTACCGATTGCTGGTTTTGACAGTTATGATTTATGATCCTCATCGACAGGACATTTCTCGTCTCAGGCATGTCTCCCTGACGTATTATGCAAACGAATTTCTGCAGAAGAACACTCCAGTTGTTGCTTAACCGAGTGCATTCATCAAGTTCAATTTACATTTACAAAAACTGGTCGTTGCAAACATAAAGTTCACGCCAACCCACATAGTATGCAAAATAATTGAGAATTCAACGATTTCGTGCCTTGCCCATCTGATATTCAGTATAAAAATGCTAATCTGGCTTAGAATTCAATAACTTCGTATAAAATTATCTATGAAGATTCAATTTTATTAGGTTGGCAATTAAATAAAGGGAAAGCTTGTGTGCAAATCAATTGCCAACTCAATATTTCGTATTGACGTTCGTGTTTCTAAGGAAGAGTTGCTTGGAAAGAGCCTGATCTTTGAAATCGATGATTTGGTACCTCGTGAGCATCGCTACTGGGTTTCTCGCGACTCGTGCCGATGAATTAACCAGGGCAGCCGAAGTAGAGTCAGAGGAGAAAGTTTGTAAACCGCGCAGGTACCACTCGTCCTCTTCACCCACGTAATAACGTGTGTAACTGGGTAGAAACGCGGCGAAAAAATAGTAGGACTACTGTCTGCCTATGCCCCGGGCACAACGGGACCGTTCGCAGACTTTTACTAATTACCATAACAAAGATCGGTTCTGTACTATCGTAAAACGTTACTCTCGCACGCTATTACGTTTGTCCGTGCATACAAATGACGTTACGCGATTCTTACAAGCAAATTTTCCTTCGCCTATGAAAATTTTTCATATTTTTTAATATGGCAATTCTAAAAAATGTAAAGACTTATTATTATTGTTATTGTTGTCCTTATTGTTATTGTTATTATTGTTGTTGTTGTTGTTCTTATTCCTATCCTTATTTTTATTGTTGTTGTTGTTATTGTTCTTGCT